TAAAAAAAACTTAAGTTATCGTAATGCCATTAGATGTACAATATTTTTGGTTAATCCTTCAGGAGCAAACACAAACAAATTCGAGGGTTTTCCAACTCTGGAACACGCAACATATAATTGACCGTGAGAAAAGCACGGGTTTTCTAAATCTAAGCCACAAATTGTCATTGTTTGACCTTGTGACTTATTAATAGTCATAGCAAATGCTAAGCGGATTGGAAATTGCAAACGTTTGAATGGTATAGGCGAATCTGAAGGAATCATTGGGATCCGCGGTAGAAGTACAACTTCACCTTGAAATTTTCCACTTAAAATAGTGGCTTCCAAAATGTTACCCATGATTTTTTTATGACCAGTCGCGTGCCATTACACAATTTCGGAGCATTCAAATTTCTAAGCAAAATTATAGGTGAACCAATCTTCAATCTCAAATTATGGGGTAGCATTCCAGGTAAATCTAGTGAATTTAAAAACTCGGCAGAATAGTTGACAACTTCATCAGGATCAACAATAGTGTCAATCGATTTGAATGTAATTTCACTACCAGGCAATGATTGTTGTACTTTAAAATTGATTGCGTCAACATCTAAATTTTTTGCGGCTAAAATAGCTCGCTCACGTAGCCATGCATGATTAGTATAATTATGTGGCAAATCTGGAAAGATACTTTTTATTAACTCCTCTTTGGTAGGCACCATGATGCAAAAATTCTGTGGGAGTCGAATATATTGTGTATCTTCATACAATTGAATATTACCATTGCCAATGTCTAACAGTTGTTCAGAGAATCTTGACGCTAATGGATCATTTTGAACTTGAACACGCATATTAAGAGTAAGGCATAATTTACTGACACTTCGCCACAGATAGGATTCTTTCAAACATGCGTTTATTTCGTCCGCATATGTCGCACGTGGAATAACGGGTAATGTTTGTCTGAAATCACCTGACAGCAGCAGTAGAGCACCACCTGAAAGCCGAGTATTATCTTTGATATCTTTTAGGGACCTGTCGAGAGCTTCAAGCGAATGCTTGTGGGCCATTGTACATTCATCCCAGATAATAATCTTACATTTTCTCAAAACTTCAGCTATGCCTGAATGCTTCTTTATGTTACACATTGCTTTGGGATTGGTATGAATATTCGAAGGTAATTTAAGTGCTGAATGCGCTGTCCGTCCACCATCAAGTAAGGTTGCTGCAATGCCTGATGAAGCAATTGCCAATGCAATATGATTTTGAGATCGAATGCGCGCAAGTATTAGTGAGATGAGGAATGTTTTACCAGTGCCACCTGGTGCGTCCAGAAAAAAAATCCACCTTGTTGTGCTGCAATTGACACGTTAATTTGATCATATATACTTCGTTGCTGAGCACTAAGCAATCGTTCATTGTTAGCAACAAAAGTAGCCAGAGAAGTCATATCGAACTGGTGTTCACGTTGAACGTCGCTGTTGATGATATCTGCTGCTTGGCGGATTGGAGCTGGCATACCAAAATTTATGAGCGGCATGTTCAAAATAAGAATACAAATATCCTCAATCATTATTAATGCCACGTTATATATTTCTGCGGAGAATTCAATGCTGAGATTTTGATTAGTAATTCTTATCCGATGCAAAATATCCTCACTCATTGAGTCTTTATATTTAATCCACAGAGCAGATGCTTCAGACGGAAAACACGTTGTCAATATTATTGAAAATAATTGACGAATTTGCTGTGGAGATGAGCTCAGTGCTGCATCTGCAAGTGTGAGGTCCCAATGGTTATCATCCTCCAATAAATGTAACTCACGACGCGCATCAAAGAAAGTGCCGTATAAAGTACAGTTGACTTTTCGCAAGTATTGGAAGGATGTCGGTCCAGGAACGTTAACCAATAACAAACGCAGAAAAAAGCATTCGCGTTGCTTGGGATGAACTGTATATAATCATCCTAAAGTATTTGTCAAAACTATGTCGGCAAATCCTGGGATGGAGTGCCTCGTTTCCGTGGTTCACAACTTTTTGATTGTTTATTCCATAAAAAAAAATTTAGGAACATCAGCATACATTAATGTCTTCACCAACAATATCTTGTCGATTACAAAGGTTGAAAAATTCAGTAAGAGTTGTTTCTGGAGTTTTTAAAGCTTGTTGTTAGTGCATTCTGTTCTGTGAAATAAACACGCTGTCCATTTTCAAGATGCACAGCCAAATGTACAACAGCAGGATCCCTTTCATGTATAGGAAATGTAAAAATTCGCCAAATAGCTTCATTACTACTTATGTATCGTCCCATTTGATAATGTGTTATTTCGTCATTCTTATTTACATTTTGAACAGCAAATATAGCTTTATCACTGCCCTTATGAACGTACTTACAAATGTACTTGATAGACTTCACCGAACTGCATAACTCAACGTTTATGTGTGCTTTATAGGTTTTGCACAGCAATGGTGAGTATGGAACCACCCAGCGATTATCGATGTCAACTCTTACACCGTTTGATAGACGCAATTCATATGATTGACCGCCATTGTCTACATCTCTACGACGGTAAGATGGATAACCATCGATATTGGTGATAGTGTCAGTTTGACATGGTTTAGGAAAACGTTTCGTACATTTTCCATTATCCATACATGGTGACGTCATGTTGAGAGAACCACATGGACCATGGATCATATTAGTAGTCACAATGTCAAACAATTCTTGATCAACATTCGGATTTGGAATTTCCGCTGAAATAATTTTGTCAATTTCTTCTGGGCGTACTTTGTCCACCAACCAAATCAAAATATGCGCATGAGGTAAACCTCGTTTTTGCCATTCAACAGAATAAAGCCAACATCGTGTTTCACCAAATACCGAGTGATGTGTAATCAATTTCATCAGAGATTTCAATTTTTGTTTGAACACACGTGCAATGATATCATGGCGATGCATCGATGTTTGACCTGATAACAGCAAATTTTTAATTTCATCCCAGTTTGGATTACACGTAAATGTGATAAAAAGATCTGGTCGGCCGTATGCGCGTACGTAAGTCATGGCGTCTTGAATATATTCTTGCATATGACGCGGACTACCAATGTATGATGATGGAAGAATATATGCGGTACCGATGTTGTTGATATCATTCGTTGCATCTACGTTACCGATTATGGCGTCACGCAAATGAATGTACTCTTCAGAACGAAGTTTCGCTTGATTAAATTTTATATAACGCAATCTCTCACTTTCGATTTTTACATACATATCAACAATGTACTGATGAAATAGCTGTCTGCATCGGAGAATGTTATTATCTTCATTTTCACGAATCATCAACCGGTATGCGTAGAAGTTCATCGCACTAACTTTCTTGATTAGTTCTTCACCTGTAAATAAAACTATTTATAAGATAAACAGAAATAATTGGTTAAAAAAAATTATAAAATAATCTATAAGTTGTGCCTGTTGTTGGATTCCTTTGTTTAATATTTAAATGATATCCATCTTCTCCTTCCCAAAATATCAACGGATATTGCAGTGCGTCGTAAGAACGATGATTGTCTTGAATTATTTGTATTGTATTATCTCTGCGTTGTATGCGAATATCTCGACGTTCACATGGGTTACCAGCCATAACAACTGCAACTTCATTAACAGTTGGAACATTATATGTGCCTGCGTACTTTCCATAGGGCACTTTGTCTGCTTTAATAACAATGCCGTAGTTGTCGTTTTGCAGTTTGTTGGAAAGAGTCTTGAACAATCGCATCAAATGGTTATGGTTGTGCAAGAACGTTTCCAAAATGTTCACAATTTCTCGTTCCTCCATCTGCTCTATATGGTTGTATACGCACCGTGTATGAGTTTGTAGCTCCTCATCGCCCATAAAGTAAATTTGTAAGAATTTTGGATCGACATTAGGCATTGGAAGCAATGAAACAATTTGGTGGTACACTTGACCTTGAATCTTAAATGTAGATTCAAAATTATGACCATCCTCATTATGAAGAATTTTTGTTGTTCCAAATGATGTCATTTGAAAGCAAGAATTGAATTTACGAATTTTCCGCAAAAACAATTTTGACTGAGATGTGGCTCCAGCTAATAATGTTTTCAAAGATTCCGGTGGTGGATTTAACGGTCGAAGTGAAATTTTTCCAGATGCGCAACATAAACCAGCTGATTCACCTTTGTACTTTAAAGCATGACAGTATTGACACTTGTTGTCCATACTACCGATTAAGATTAATGCATGTGACGAATAGTCTATTTCAGGATCATATTCAAACGCAAGACGATTAAGTGATGCTCGTATCAATGCTCGATTATCTTGCATTCGCCGTTGGTTACGTTCTCTGTTTTCGTTGGTCGCTCGTTGGCGTATCTCTCGCTGTCTTAATGCATTTGCACGAAGACGTTGATTGCGTTGCTCTGAATTTTCATTTTCACGTGAATCTCTGAATTTCTCACTCTGAATTTTCATTTTCACATTATCCGTCAAGTGTTCTTCAACTGTTCTATTCAATCAACGATCATGGACCAATTGTGCGTTTCGAGTACGTCGATCAATATTTCTTGCTCTTCCACGAAGACGTGGCATTTCTTTGTAAAACAAAATACTGTAAATTAGTACATAAAAATATTAGTAATTTATTGAAAATGATATTTTAATTAAATAACAGGACTGAGAAGATTTATTGTACCAAATTTTAAATAAAAAATTTGTAATTTTATTTTTTTGCTTTTTTTTATTTAATATTTCAAATAAGAATTTTTAAATAAAAACAATTGAAGAAGTTTTATATGGAATCAATTAGCTTCACAAATAAATTTATAGGTTAGAGTAGTTGTTAACCAACGCACGTATAAATTCGATCTAAAATAATACAAAATACTCACTTCAATTCCGCACTGAATCTACAAAATGTGTAGTTTTTTACATTTTTAAAATGCACACATCAAAACTCTTCAAACACAATAATAACACGAACTTACAAATTCTATTCAACGACTCTTTTTTCTGCTCCCTATTAAATTATATGTGTATCAAAACAAGCTAAAAAAATATTTACAGAAAAACAGAAGTTTTATGACTTTTATTATTTTTTTGCTAGTGAGAGCCAAAACAATATGGAAATGAATGAGGGAAAACTGGATCCTACCACGTGATTTCCCGGCCAATAAAAATGTAGCGTTAAACGTTTAACGCTTTCTTGTTGGAAGTCGCATAAGAAGTATAACTTTTAAGAAGTAGAATTTTTCCCACTCAATAAAAAATTAATTAAAAAAACAATTGAAATTGGACCGAATTGTGAATCTAAACCATTCTCGANTATATATATATATATATATATTGTCAGTCTACACACCACATCTACATCCACATCTACACACCTAAAAATCGCCCTCCTAAGATTGTTTAGCAAAAATATGTTTAGCATACCTGATGACAACCATGGCCATTTCCCCCATTTGTAATAAATCACTCTCTTCGCCGATTTTCTACTTTCAAATAAAGTTTTCAAAAGAAGTCGATGTTATTCTCTTGAGCAAGCTTGAGACAAAAATGCCTGATAGACACTTCCTCATATGTCATCGTCTACAATTGATTCAATATCGCTCAGAGTATTGCAATACGATCCATCATCGTCCTGATACTTAAGTGCCCGTCATGTTACTCTGTCACTACTATTTTTTCTAACCTTAAAAGTTTTCCCTCTTCTAATTTCATTGGAGTATCTTCGGTTGTGTAAAACAAACGCATGAAAGGAAAATAAATGTTTTTTAAATTGAATAACAAGACTGTTATTAACATAAAAACTGAGTTAGGTTTAATTTCGATTCCCTAATATTAACAAACATAAAATATCATGATAAAATTAAAAACAATTTCCACACTTTGTTTATTACATAGTATAAAACCTTATGTGATCAAAAGTCCTTTCCAAAGCGCTTCGGAAAAAATTACGGATCTTTTTAATGTCTTTTCATAGAGCCAGAAACATGGCCAATTTTATAATATTCTGGTAGTTTTGGTCATACTTTTTTTTCTCAGTATACGATGCGCAAAAAAAAACGGACCATCCTGAATAACTTTTGATCTCATGATCGGATCGTCACGTTCTAGGACTCAGTCTTAATGGCTCGAGGGAGTGACTTCAAATATTCTAATTAATAAGTGCAAACAATATTTTAAATTACGAAATCAGACGCAAAAAGGTACTTCTTCTGAATAAACATACCCTTTTTTCAACGGATGTGGATTTTTAACCCACAAAATCTAGGGGAGTAGCCGCAATCAGGGAAATATTTTCTCCATAGTAGGGTCAGGAGAACGATTCAAAGTTTGGACATCTTAATTGCGTATTATGCCACATCTCGAGATTTTAAGTGACAATTATAAAATTCATTTGTACAAAGATAATTCAATACAAAAAATAGATTTTAACAAACATTTAATTTTTTTTATTATGATATTAAATAATAGTCGAAAATTTTTTTAATTGTAAGATATACAATTTTCGCATAATTTTAAAGTACGCAATTTTACATTCCAAAATACAAGATTTGAGCGAAATCGGTTGAATTGTTCTTGAAAAATCGAATTTTAGACATCTGCCATTTTTGAAATGCAAATTCTGAAAAGTTATTCAACTAATTTTAATAAAATTTTGCATTTTGTCATGCGAAATTATATTCTTTAAAATGATGCAAAAAGTAGTATGCTAAAACAATTCAAAATGTAACAATATGCAATTAAAATTTTTTTAATCATTCTACTCGAAAAAATTAACTCTTTTATAACTAATTGCAAAAAAAAATGTTCCATTCGTTTAAAAAGTTCTCGAGATGTAACAAAATACGCAATAAGTAAAATTAAGATTACATGCTCCTAACTTTGAAGCGCTCTCATGACCAAACTATTGGGACCATATTTTCCAGATTGCGGCTAGCCCCTATATTTTTGGGGTCAGAAATCTCAATCCATCAAAAAATCAGAGAAAGTTCGTTTTTGTGTCAGATTGCGTTACTTAAAATATCGTTTGCACTTATTAATTAGCATATTTGATTTCACCCCATCGCGCGATTAAGATTGAGTCCTAGAACAGGATGATTCGATCATTAGATCAAAAATTCAGGTTGGTCCGTTCCTTTTTTGTTCACTGTACATACATGCAACCATACGCATATTGTTGCTCTATATTATATGAACATAGATCATGCAAGTTGTAAAATAATAAAAGGCTCTGTTATTCATTAATCTGTGATCTATTTTCTTGTGCTTTTCTTTGTAACAGCCTTAAACATAATTTTCAACAATACTCTCGACATATTTAAATAAATAAATTAATTAATTAAAAAAAAACACTTGTAGTTCCATTCGAATTTGTTCAGTTGAGCCGGATGTAAGAGGCTTTTAGTACCATTGCTTTACTTTCCACCATTCTATATATTATTTTTTTTAACGGTAATTGATTTCTTGACTTTAATCTTATAACTTCGCAAAACATTAAAAACAAAACGATTTTTTTCAATATGACATTTTTAAACTTCATTTAATATAATATCTATATTAGTTAACTTCTGCATGCCAAACAGTAGAATCAAAGATCCAGCATTTTAAATTAGATAAAGCCTTTTCAATATACTAGAACTCAATATCATTTATTCATTGTGGAGAACTTGCGTTAATTTGAGTTAACCGATTTAGCCTGTGACTTTAGCCCGAAATAGAACCCACGAAAAAAATTTAGCTGAGCAGCATACTGACAGAAATACAAGGCACGAGGTAAACTGTTATATTTCATCAAAATACCAATAACTTAATTAGGGTTATTAAATATTTTGTAGTGCGTTGTTTTTAAGTATTATGCTATTTAAAAAAAATGTAAAGAAAACTATGATGAGTTATCAAAAATTTATGTTGGCATCCTTTAAGGCTGATATAGGATTAAATTAATTAATTACTTTTATGTTGAACGGAATTATGTTGATTAAAAACAATAAATTAGACATACTTTTTTATTATTAGAGAAAAGGGAAGAATAATAATATTAACAATAAAACATTCAAGATTAACCCTTATTTTAGAATATTTTTTTTTAATAACACTCTTTCAATATGAATTATAAATTCGATTTAATCTATAAAAGTTTTAAAATAAAAAAGTAACAATTTCACTCTAAAAGCAAAAACAAAAGCAAAGGTACTCATACACTTACATGATTTCTTGTGTGACCTGACTTAAAAAGCACATGCTTTTACTGAAAATATTTATACCCAGAAGGCATTTCAGAATCTGCTTCTTCCTTTGAAAGTAATTTTATCGATTTTTTTTATTTTATTCTAGTTTTACTTATAACGTCTTGTGAAGAAAAGATTTGATTTCCCATTTATATTATTCTTTAATGAAACAGATGAAATTTGCCTTGTTTCTGAAATAAAAGGGCTTTGGTTAAATATTATTTTTCAACATTTTCGTTTTTAATGGCTTCTTTTAAAAACTTATTTTTAGAAATAACGTAGGAGAAACAATAAAATTTAGTCATACGGCAGGATAAAGACTCTTTTTTTTCCTAACATAATATGTAGTTTAGAATTAGTTAGTTACATAATATGGAATAGTTGCGAGATTGTTTCTATCAATCAGACATTTTTGAATCAAGGAAACATGGATTATGATATGGTGTTGTGTTGTTTATAGCGATGCTTGGATAAGCACAGCTCGTAAGCCATTGGCATTTGGAGAATTAAGTCGATACGAATTCCGCATTCGGCCTGCACTAACCACTGTGTTGACGTAAAATTTCCTCAGTAGTAGACGGATCATGGGCTAGAGTCCCCTTGAGTGGTTTTAATCTCCATGTAATGCAAATGAGAATTAGTTACCTCAAAAAGAAATCCACGAAGGAATTTCTCCCAATACTTGATACAGAACTTCCCTTCTCTTCTGAATTACGTTCAAAATTACGAAGCTACAGAGTTGAACATTAGTAGTCGTAAAGCCAAAAAATTTGGTTGACTGTTCAACATGGGTTACAACATAGATCTATAACCCAGAAATTATTTTTTGATCAAATTGAGCTATGAGCTAGAAACTATCACTGATGCTTTCTGCGATATATATTTGAAAAACAGAATCACTTATGATAAAATTTAAAACAATGTCTAACGCTTCACCAATCAGAAAATTCCATTCCGTTATTCGTTCATTCCACTCGAACTGCTCGGCGTAGAATGTTCTAATGCTGACAGTGACTTTTCTCAGTTATGGGACTATCTATATGCCAAATTTCATCGCTGTCAGTCTGATTTTTTAAGTGTCTATAAAGGACATCCGCACACAGAGAAGATATAT